GATCTGAAGGTGCTTTGAATTGGGCCAGAAAACACTTCAGCATGACCAGTGAAGTCAATGGGACTTAACTCAGGTTTGAGTGTCTGTTTAAGTGCTTTCCTGAATGGGTGCCCCTGCTTCAGCCTAGTTCAGAAATCAACTGAAAACAAGTCCTAGCACGGAAATAATTTCACCTCCAAGACATCATGCTGCTGCAAGTTTTACTAATGTGACAGCAAACCTTTTGTGCTCTTCCTGCAAGGCTGGCTCAGAAAGGGAGCCCGGTTGCTCTCCGAGTAGTTCTCTTAGGGGCAAGTAGTTCTTTTAGGGGATTGTTAGATTTTAGTAGATACTAACTTACACCAATAAAGCTGTACTCAGAACTGTATTTAGTAGTTCCACATGTACCTAGTTTTTCCTATTTCTATTCCACATGTACCTAATTTTTCCTATTCTTCTTCTTCCTCATATGTAGCAGTTTAGAAAACCTATCCCAGCCTTCCATCTTCCCAACGTTTTCTTTCCAAATAGAAATGGAACAGGTACTTCCCAGTTGTTCTGCAAAGTTAAAATTCAGACAGCATTTGAAAACTTTCTGGAAAGGACAGGACAAACTGGGGCATTGAGTAAAATTTCCATGAACTGAGGTTTGGTCAAACTCTGGGACACATTTGGACCTTCCAGGTAAGCTGATCTGAATCCAAAGTTCAAAGCAAATTCAAGCCAGCCAAAGTCTTTATGGCCTTAACTGACCTGGAAGGGTCTGGCCCTAAAATACAAGATTTCCCACATACACAAAACCTCCATAAAACCCCTTTAATTCCAGCTCAGCACCTTACACTGTGCAACTCAGATCCCGGCAACTGCACAGTGCAAGTGGGAAGAGCACCAAATACTGCACAGCAAGGAACTCTGCGGGACCAGCTGGAAACCAAACTGCAAGTCTGCAGAGGAACCCTGTGCTTCTCCTGTTTCTCTGTCGATAACACACTCTTCAGCGCCTGCAAAAAACCTGAAAGGGCTTGGCCCTCAGCTATATGTAGATTAAATGCCATGTTTATCTCATTAAAACTCCATGGGCCCTTTCCTGATGAAAAAATTACAATTCAGAAAGCCTGTGGTTACGGTAACCTGCGCTATGGGCCTCTCTCTGAAGGCAACAGGCATTTCCTCCAAGCAGTGTCCAGTGGGCCATAGTCCACTGGGGACCACGTACGTGCTCCCACGACCCCCCTGCGTGTGCTCCACAGGGCCGTCGCGGAGCCCGTGCAGCTGGCACACAGAGACGCGCAGCAGCAGAGCAGCCCCTTCTGCTGCCACCCTGAACTCCGCCGACTACGTGGCCTCTCCCTTCCACAGCTGCTCAGCTCTGGAGCCCACAAAACCTGGCAGACATCGATCTAGTGTAACACTACCTGGCAGGTAAAAAGCGTTCTTCAGGCTGGACTCTCCAAGCAGGGCTGCAATCCTCCTTTTACCCATGCAGCTAAAATACCTCCTTCAACAGCTCCCACCCTCACTGGGAACTGCCATCACTCCCAGCTCCCTGGCTCAGGTCCCGGGACTGCACAGCTTGCACCTTAACAGCAGGGTCCACGGCCCGACCCAACGCCGAGGTCACAGGCAGGCAGGTACCTCCCGGCCATGGCAAGGCTGGAGGGTGAAACGATCCCTCAGGCAGCAAAGGGAGCTCAAGGCTGAGCAGAGCTTGCCTGGGCTCCCGGCTCTCCGCTTGGGGTTCGGTCCCTAAGCCCAACTCTCAGCCTCCCGTAAAACGTAACCTCTCATGGTCTGCTGCAGCTGCTGGCACGGGCAGACTGCAGGCAGCGATGCTGAGCGTCGGGCGAAGGCACGGCTCGCAGTGAGACCTGGCCCAGCTAAGCTTCAGGGTGTAAGAACAGCGCACCAGGGAGTTATAAGCAGGGGGGAGGGAAAACCTCATACCAAAGGAATAGCTCGGATCCACACAGAGGCAGAAATATCTATCTGCCGAGATGGATAATTAAACACCCATATTTAGACAAATGAATAGGTGAGAATGAAATTAAATCCTAATTATCTTTTTGGGAGAGGGAGGGGAAAGGGATAGGGAGCAGAACCAAGCACTCATTCCCCATCCCTATGCCGTTATCACCAATTAGATTTCTGAGGCTAATGTACGTCTTGCTTTAACGGGTCATTCATCCAATTGAAATCAAATTACTAATAATTTGCAAACTATCAGCTACACAAGCCTGTCCTTGGGTTGTATAAAGAGTCGTGAGCAGGAGCCAGTCCCTTACAAATTAATAACAGAAAAGGAGGGGGGAAAATAACCACCACAGCCAGGCACTCAAAGGTCCTACAGCTGCTACTGTGCCTCCCACCTCCTCAGGCACCCGAGGTCTCCGACACGGGGTGATCAGCTGGGACGTGTTCAATGCAAATGAGCAGAGGGGCCCCACGGCAGCGGGAAGGGACAGGCTCCCCGCGCTCGCAGAGGGAGCAGAAGGGCAGTCCGAGGGGTGCGCAGGCTGGGGGAATTCAGCTGCTGCATCGGGCACTCCGGCAAGGCGGGACTGGAATGTCAGGGGTTGGGTTGTGCAAAGAATGAAACTTCTGATGTATGTATGTGAACCGAGAAACAGAAAAAGAACAGGAAGGACTGGGGGTATTCAAGGGATCTCTGGAGCCTGTCCTGGAATGAGAATCCAGCCCAGAAAAGAAAGTGACAGAGCTGGCAAAATAATGGAGAGCAGCTGGGATAGTTTTTAATTTTTAAGTTGTTTCTTTCCTTCCCTGTGATCTCTTTTCTACCCTAGTGGTCCCCGCAAGCTTCCAACACCAGTGGCAACCACGGCAGAGGCCAACCGAGCGAGTCAGGCATCCCCCGAGCTCCGGGGGCAGCAACGACCTCGCTCCGCAGCTGAGCTTCCGCACCGCGGCCAACTCGCTTTCTGCCGCTCCCTTTGGCTCGCTCCACCGTCCCAGGTGCACGCTGCAGCAACGCGCGTGCCATGTCAACGTGGAGAATGCAGGGCAGCGTCCAGCTACAGGAACAGGTCATTACTGCCAGAAGGAGAACCCATCACAGCCCCATCTCTTACCCACAACTGTCCCTTTCAACCCCCACTTAGTTATAAGAGCAGCACTTCCTCTGGATGGAGTCTGTCTGTACCTTTCAGTTTTCTAGCACAGGCAAGGCCACAGAGCAGAGAAAAATATTGACAAAGTTTCCGCACACCCTCTGATTTAGAAGACTGCACTGAGGGGACAGTGACGGCGACAGGGTGAATTCAGCACTTCTGTTCCGCTGGCACAGCCCACCACCACCACGGTCGCTGGGAATACTGTGCCCCGGCCAGGCCCTAGGTACCAGCACCTTGCACAGAAACACAGAGCACTCAGGCACACAGTGAGACCTGCGCAATGGAAATCAGCTGCTGCAGGCGAGCAGCTGGGGAAGATCTATTTGCAGGTGCCGTTATGCAGGCCTGGATGGTCAGAGCTAGCTCCTCTCTCCTCCCTGCTCTTGGATCTATCACCGTCTCAGCCTCCACAGTCTCCCCAGATCCATGTCACGCCATTTTCAGGCAGCCAACGTTAAGAAGCTTGTGCAGGCAACGAACAGGGGTAGGCTCCTCCAGGAAACCTCATGCATGATGGCTGGAAGAACGGCCTTGAGATGGCAGCAAGACTGAGGCTTGGACTTGGGGCCTCTGGGTTATTCTCCACCACAGAACTGATGCTGCAAGGGTCAGATACAAGGAGCTACAGAGAGCAGCCAAGAGCACTTGTGGGTCAAGGTTTCATTTGCTTTCATTCTCACACTTCACCTTTCTTTCTGGTCTTGTACCTCCTTCCTGGGCAAGAAGAGATTTCTTGCTGTTTATTATATTTTCTCCTGTAGCATCCCTGAGATGTAAGTAGCCATTTTCTCTCTCTCTCCCCCCTCAAATGTAT